CAACTCCTGCGTGACCCGCGTTGTAGGGCTTAAACACGGATGTTCACACAAACACAGGCGCACGCCTAGAACAGAACCGAACTGCTTGCCCGGCTAAATTATAAACAGCACGCGCCTCAACCACAAACTATCCGAGCGCACCCATGCACTTTTGTCTCAAGACCGCTAGTTAAGGGCAGCAAAGGCATTCTGACTGATTGCAGACATGTAGGCAGGAAGGGATTGACTATTGGCAGAAGAGTGGGTCTTTCTGAGTCCAGCAGAAAAATTATCAGCTACTTTCCGGAAAGCAGGAAAAAACCGGTCAAACCTTTAAGTCCTTTCCCCGGCATAACCTTGAGAAGAGGTCAAGTACGTGGATATTCGTTAACAAAATATCTACTGGACACACGTATTAGAGAAGAAACCTGTCAGAGGTTTTTTCCACTGATAAAGAACATATGCATCGCAAGCCTTCGTTGTGGACGCTCATTTTCTCTGCAGCGAGTGTTTCATGTTTGGGTGAGTCTGTAAGTATGAATCAAACGGCCACATGCATAAGTTGGGATGGCCGATAACCCACTACTTCGGCAAATGCTTTCGAGACATATCTCATTCCGAAGGTGTCGATATACACGAGCTACGGGACCCATTTTCATGGGCGCTCGATTAAAAACACGGAAAACCGCAAAGTATTTTAGAAGCGTCCTGTAACACAGTGTAGTCCACCGTCCCCAAAGTAACTATTTTGAGGGAAATAGTATGCTTTACAATTACACCTGCCAATTTTGCTTGAATTTCATGGTTACTGAGCAGGCCCTCAACACATGACGGCCCTACCAACGAACCCAGGCAAAATCCCCTATGCTTTAATCATCCACTTCTCGGACAATATATACTCGCTCGAAACCGACAGGGTAGCGGGCTCGTGGACCAGCGGTTAGAGGCGTGGACTTCAAACTAACAGGTCGCGAGTTCGACCTTCGGGTGTTCCACACTTCGGGGTCGGGTATGACTGGCTGACGACGGTTAATAAGCCAGGAATGGCCATATCAGTCTCCCTTGTCTTTGTCGGTAATAACATACTGCGTATAATCGAAATTACACGGCTTTCTCAGTGAAGTTCCGGAACCTGTAATCAGGCATCATGCACTTGACTGTGTGCCATACTTCACATAACACCAATTGTTAGAGGTTATTTACCTAAACTGCTGTGACTAGGGGGCTACATTCATTCATTTATTTGCATGGAAAGGCTTAATGTATTTGGATTTTACGCTTCTCGCACGAATTATCGCGCCTCTAGCATTTACGAAATTTTCGAGAAAATTGCAAATTCCAAGGAATGCAATACTACTTTTAGTATGTACTTTGTGTTCTCAATTAACTTGAAGTCGTCCCATCTAAACATAGTCTTCCAGCCGATGCATTTGGGTCGGTTTCCGATTGACTGGAGATTTTTCGTTAATTAAAGCCCATTACACCCATTACATCGCCCGCTGTACGCATCGAGACTTAGTTGCCCTGCTCATAGCACAGAGGCCAGCTGGAAGTTCAGGCGTGCGTTTCGCCAATTTTGCGCCGTAGTGCTCGCTAGTGGACTCCCGACCATGTCCGTGCGCTCCCCAAACGGGTCACGTGGTAGATACGTTGGACCAACACGAGGGCCACATCGGATTCTGGCAGGCGTTATCTTGCACAATAACAAATGCCAACATTTAGGGGGGTGCGGTGGCAGACCTGGATGCCGGAATTCGTCGCACAATCTGGGACCATTGCCACCACCCAATGTTTTGTCATTCAAAATCCTGGTTATTTGTTGTGTGGAGCAGGGGGTGCGGATCCGCCCAAGCCATCCACCTGCGGCCTCCCTCATGTGCGGTCTTCTTTACTCTGTCTTGACACCGGGCTCATGTGGAGGAGGAGGAGGAGGAGGGAATGTGGTTGATGCAGTGCAAGTCTATCGGCACTATAAACCCCCGCGCAAGTCACCGTCCTTGCTCCCACCCTCGTGTGGGTCATATGGTGGACATCATCGAAACCGACGGTCGAACTATAGTAGAGGTACGTAAAATGCCCCTTCCGTTAAGCCTCACAAGCAGTCGCAAAGCGACCAGTAGTCATGCAGGGGGATGAGCACTCACGAAGGGTAACTCGGATGACCATTTTCGACTTACTAGCCGTTATCCGACGGCCTCGACCCCACCATAAATAATTGTAAGTTGCGAGTAAATCATTCGAGACAACCCCGCCCCATTCGGTTGTTACGAGGACCCATGCCAAATCCCAGCAGGCTCAGTGGAATGGTTGCGTAACACTCGCAGGCTGCCAACGGCCAGTGGGAATACGCTGGCGGGATTGAGAAGTTTGAAGCGGAGTAACCACTGCATCCGACAGCCAGACCGTCGATCCCGACGATGTCCACCACCAGCCCACAACCGGATGGGCAAGGGGACAAAGGTGATAGTGATAGTAAATTTGCGTGACACCTACCGCATTCCCCTCTCCTACCCGGGCCCGGTCTCAGGAGAGAACCAAAATACTTGTACTTGATACGGCTGCGATCATGCCTGATGTAGCCGGCCTCGATGATGTCCCGAACTGTACTTCTCAACGCGTGACGATCCGCGGCAGCAGATCTGGACAGCTCAACCCATTCCATTCGCCAACGACGTAGACCGAACACCTAAGGCCCAAGGACCACCTCCATGTCTTGACGAACTGTGCCGAGCCAGGTTTTGAACTGACCCCCTCTTCGACGTCTCCAATGGGGCAACGGTACCGGATCGAGGGCAGTAACACTGAGCTCCCGAGGTGGACGACGAAGAACATGTCCGAACCACCTCAGTCGTCTTTCTTGGATGGCCTGAGTTATCCTCGCGATGTTGTCGCAGCGAGCGCGGACTGTCTCATTTGAGACGAAGTCGGTGAACTTCACTCGAAGTGGTGGTCAAATGCCTCCAGTTTTTGCTCGTCCTCAACGCGCAAAGCCCAGCATTCACAACCGTAGAGAAGGGCAAACCGGACAGATGCACGGTACACGCGAATCTCAGTAGCGATGGAGGTCACGTCGGATCCATAGGTATTTCCGAAGGCTTGAAAAAACCCAGCGGGCAGCATCGATTCGGGAGACAATGTCGTTCTTACTGTCCATTAGGCAGCAGCCTCACCCCAAGGTATTTAAGACTGTCAACTTCTTCAAGTTGACAGCCATCAATCCCGAGGGGTGCCTTCTCCTGGTCAGGGATGCAGCTTGAACACTTCAGTCTCCCCGCGTTTATGGATAAACCGACCGATTTAGTGACCTCGTTCACCCGTGATACCATGGACTGCAGATCACCAAAACTTGAGGCAAGTAAGGCGCTATCATCGGCATAGTCGAGATCAGTCAGTCGATGTCCGGGTGCAAACTCGACGCCATCACTCTCGCGTAGGGCCCTCCCGAGGAACCAGTCAATAGCATAGTTGAACAGAATGGGTGACAGGATGTAACCCTGTCGAACGCCAGACCGAATACCAAACGGTTGGGAAAGAAATACTGGGGGCGAGAGGCTGGTGCGGCGCCATATAAACTGTCACGAACCCAAAACGGCTCATACCGGGGAATTGACTCTAAGTCTTATCATTTATTTCTGGCAGGATTAACAGGTATAAGAAACTGGGGGGTTAATGGCCGAGAAACCACATAGGCAACGCTGATGGACACGTTGACACAGAACAGAATCGGACAAAGCACGTATATGGGCCTCCAGGTAGCAGCTGTACCGAGGGCGTGGCAATCTAAACGTTTGTTTTACCAGGCCATAGAGCTATTAATAACGTCTAAAATCCAATCCAGACACTGGACCATCCCACTATCAGGCCATTCACAAAGGCACTATCCGACGAACTATGGGTCACTCGCATTCCCAGGCGACCGCGGAATTGTGGTCTGAATGTCCTAGTAAAATTATCTGAAAACCCATGGGACCAAGCGCAACAGCAACGACCACTTTGGACCGCTAAAACTCAACGCGCCCAAAATTCTTAGTGGAAGAGCTATGGTGCCACGATCTTGGTAGACGGTCTTGTCTAGTAAAAATCAAACCAGCCGGCCTGACGCCATACACACAAAAACAAAGACGGCAATTCTGCACTAGAGCCCACTCTCTCCAAAATGCCACGACAAATTAAGTTGAGTGGGGAAGCGAATGAGCAGTGAAGACCATGAAAATAAAAGGCAATTGTTCATATGACTGCCTGGAAAGATTATCAAACAATGAGCAGGCGAATGCATCACCCCTTCTCCTCGCCAGCTTTCCGCCCTGATCGACCGCCCAAACGCGCGTGCGGAGACCCCAGAAAGTAAAAAGGGACAGGACAGGTCCGTACGTACATGCAATGCAATCTGGTGATGCCCAAACCCGTGGAGGTGAGGGGATGATTAAATCTGAGAGGGGGGAGCAGGGGTAGGAAGAGCGAGCGCTAGGGCTGGCGCAGGCCAATGCCCGTAATGGGCAGGAAAGCAACGGTAAGGAGGGCTGAAAGTCCGTAGGCGTGTGTATGTGTGTGTCTTCTTGTGCAGTTAAAGGGAGGTCCGCAGGCGCAGTTTCAGTCGATAGGCACCGGCACCTCGGGAACTAGGGAAGTGAAGACGGCGTAAATAAAGCGAAATGAAGTGACGGTGATGAGGCGCACTGTGCTTGCCAGTCGGTCCAGGGGATGCAGTACCGGCGGCGCCTCAGGTGGTGGAGGCGGGGAAGTCTCCTCTGTGGCAGCATTTGTGTCGGTAGTTGCGTTGGTTGTCTGAAAATTATACACAGGGGAAGGCATTAAAAGCGTTGGAGGCTTCAGCGAGAGTTGGGGGCAATAAAACCAGCCAAGAAGAGCGCTGAAAAGCAGGGAAAGTTTGTATGCAGTTTCCTCAACGCCCCGAAAACATGGGCTAGAAATTTGTCCGCACGAACACGCACAAGGGGAGTTCGGTTTTTCACGCCGTTGGGGTAATTATCCAGATGGAGCTGACCTTCTACGCTTAACAGTCATGCAAAAAGGCAGTCCAGACCTCGGCAAGAAACGGACGATCAATGGCCGTCGATGGCAGAGTTGCATAGACGGCCGCTGTCAGGACAATTTTGCATGTGAATGTCAGGCTTGCACTGTTTGGTCGTTGAGACAAATAAAACGAGTGATAAGGCCACCGCAACATGACCGAAAAACCGGAACTTCTTCCCGCCGCCACCACCACAACGACCTGAGGTTGATTGACACGCCCAGGGTCGACCAGATGGTCAGAAACGTCAGAAGTATTTTTCCATCGTACTTGATGACGATCATCCTCCATAACAAAAGTGGGTAGCAGGTAAATCATAGCAGGGTAGGAGAAGGATTTCCGTGGATGTGACATTCCGCCGAGAACATGATGTTATTACCGACAAAGACACGGGAGACTGGAATGGCCACTTCGGCTTAATAGCCGTCGTCAGCCAGTCATACCCAATTCCGAAATGTAGAACAGCCGAGACCCGAAGTCGCGACCTGTTTGTTAGAAGTCCACACCTCGAGTCTCGGGTGTTCCACACTTCGGGGTTGGGTATGACTGGCTGATGACGGCTAATAAGCCAGAAATGGCCATTTCAATCTCCCGTGTCTTTGTCCGTAATACCAGTCTGCCTATATCATGCGCCGCTGCTGGTTGGGCTTGAGAGAGAGCCCGCAAGGCACAACGGAACGAGTGAGTTCCGTAGGAACGATCGGTTTACGCCCTCTACCAGAAAACATGATCGCTTCGGTCTGCCCTGGAGTCCTCGCGGGCGGTTTCGAACCTTAGGTCGTTCCTGAGGTGGGAGAGGATATGATATGATGGTAAAGACAGGCAGCCACACGCTAGCACTGCTGACTGCTGATCGCTTTTCGACCGACTGCGAGGGTCCTAGATTCGAGCTCTAAGGGAGAAGAGAGTAAGTATATTTCTTCCCATGGCGCGATTCGACAAGACAAAAAACTTCACGCGACGTTCGGAATTCCGGGAACGGTCGACAAAGCGCAAACTCGTGACCCAGGTGGGAGGGCGTTTGACTCAAGGCCTCGATGACTAAGCAGAGTCGAGTTTAAATTCCGGGCTGCTCTGACCTGGTATCTGGCTGACTGCTGACGACAAGAATTCCAGCAGTTGCCATTTCAGTTTCTGTCGCGTCAAAATCATTGTTGTTCCCCATTTCAATGGTACATTAAGGCTTGACCAAGGAAGGCCTCAGTTGTCGGCAATTTAGGAATGGTCGTTTTAAAACAGGGACAACCATGTAGGAAAACTAAAACCCCTGGTTGACTGGAAAAACATTGTAGTCTCAAGACCACTGAGAAAATATGCACACGAATGCCTAGACCTGGCCGTATTAAAAATGTATTGCAACCATGAATTCCCTGTCATTATCACACTTCCTCCAGATCGTTTAATGGTAAGAGGAAGGGGTGGGTAATAACTTGGCGGAAAGGTTTCAAACAAATTTTCACCTGATCTGGACCAGCAAGTACTTGTTGACCGTCGGCTGCCCTCGCGGGAGCGGGGAGTTGTACTGCTTGAATCCGTCGGATAAGGTTGACCAGGTAACGATTACGCTGTTCCTCGTTGTGCCTGACATGGGGAAAATGTGGCAAGTTTAGTAGTTCCGCACAGTATCAAGTTCACTGTCGGTAAGAGAGAAGGGCTAGTCAGTAAGATGACCCGGGCTGCTACCGCGGAACGGAGTCAGACCGAGGAAAGCTTTTATTCCGAATTTCGAGAGCAATTCAGTGCAGTAAGAAATAAATCAGGAGATCTAAACAGGTTTGCCGCAACTAAGAACTTTTCGGGTCAAAAACCGCGTCAGAAATGCTGCTAAACTGGTCACCACCAGCATCGCCATAGTAATTAGTGGTTGAACAATTACATGGCTTTGTAAAAGCCACGGTTAGGCTGATGGAAGGGTGTGGAGACAACATAAAGAGAACTGATGAATTAAGACAATCATTCAGTTGCGAAAGGGGCAAATCGCACGCACTTGTATCCAAGGACAGGAAGAATTAACGAGACTTTTAAGACTACCTAATGTGCTCTTCTGATGGTAAGGCGAAATAACAGTGGACACTCTAAGACTTGTACTTTCATCAACAAGGTGAATGTACAGACAGTTATCGACCTAAGTATGGATTCCCTCAGCCGTGAAAACCAGAATGCAAAGAGATGCAAGGGCAACCAAAAGATATCGACAGAACCGCCTTTACGTGGTCCCCAGTGAAGGGACGGATTGGCTTAGAAACAGCAGTACTGACCACGTGGGGGAAACGGAAGAAAATTTGCTCAGAAACCTTAACTGTCGATATGAACTGTCGCATTCGAAGACCTGAATTCCTCGCTATACGAGTCACAAGTAATGGTGGTCGGGCATGTTCAGTTTTAACTTCTACATACATAACCCAGTATACACTAATATTGAGGATTGACCAAATAAGCAACTGATAAAAGCGGACCCTTACGGCAACAGGCACAATGATTAACCCATAGAAACCTAGCAAAAACTGCGAGCAGAAACCATTCGGGTGATTATATCTCATTATGCTTATTCTTTTAGCAGCAATTTGGTATGCACTATACTCGAATCTCCCAAGCCGAAAGTCAACAAAAAGGCCTTACCTCAGTCATAATTATAGAATTAATAGACAAGCACCTTAGACATGACGCGATATCGTACCCTAAAGCAGGCACACTGGTATCTGTGGCATTCGAGAGTGAGTCGTAAAACCACTGCCGACTTCACCAGAAGGCAGAAATAAATAATGTCTGACCGATCAAATGGCTTCCCCAATGGCAAAAACAGGATAAATAAAACATTTCGAGCTGTTGTAGTAGGCCAAGGCCGACATATTACGGGTGGCGGGGGTATTGTGAAATTTTAGTATCTTCCAGTCTAACATTCGAAATGTTTTAATTGTCAGAATTACAGATCTTATCTAGTCTGTATACTGCAACTGTCCATTTCCAACGTATAAGCGATGCATCTTAAGATGCCTCATCTTACGAGTCGGAGATAGGGGTATATCGATCACGCGCACACACAGGAAGCGCATCCATATCTCATTAGTAAAACATCTGGTGCAAGATTGGGAAGATAGGCAGTTTGACTTCGATCGGGGTTTCCTGGTCATTTGGGTTCCCCATATAACATAGACCACTGGTTTAAGCGTCCTGATTGTTCAGTGATTACTCATACCACTTGGTCGTGTAGAGCGCATCGGTTCGCGTGGAGGCAGTGATGTGAATTACAATAATCTTGTCTCACGTACTCCGTGTGATTAAATTTTTAAAAGACGGTCCGAGAACTATACGTCAACAGCGCAGAAACCTGAAGCACGCCATGATTTTTCATGAAATTTAACAACATACACCAGAGTAAAGGTCTCCAACAACTGAAGCTCAGAAGCTAAGAATTGGGCCACTTTATACAATTGGTGAATATCCAACTATTCACGCAAAATATAGCTTACAGCAAGGAAGTAGAGGCAAGTGGGAATAAGCATACCAATAGAAGAACGCCACGCCGAGGGCAACAAGGACAATTCTTTCCCACGATGAATAGGCCAAGCATATGGCGATCATGAGACTGACTCGGAAAAGGGTATAGGCAA